CCTACTTACGTAAATGGAATGGCACCAGCATTTATCACGCCTGAGGCAAATTTTTAATGGGGTAAAAGTAGTGGTCGTCATGAGCCGTTTTCTCGCGTCCACTTTTTTGACATTGGTCCAAAACCGGTTTGAAACAGTCAATGGAAACACCATTGGCTACGTACACCAGAACCAAAACGTATTGTAAACAGTTTACAAATACCAACAGAATATGTTGAGTAAACTCTTGGTTCTGCTGAACGATTCAACTTTACAATGATATTGTCACCTTCTGAATGACAGGACAGGTCATCACACAAAACACAGTGTTGAAAAGTTTAAACACTCTGAAATTATGCTTGCAAAAATGGCGACCGTTTGCAAAACGTGTTTGGTTTTAACACAAATTCAACGTAGCGTTCAGCAGAACAATCGCAAACCGTTTACGAACGTTTGTATATGGTGAACGCGGCCATTGCCTGTTTCAAACCTGTTTTGAACCAATGTCAAAAAAAAAAACGCGAGAAAACGGCTTTTGTTTTACGCATTCTTAGATAAGGCTAAGTGGATTTATTATACCCCACCATTGCTCGTAAACATGTCGAAGTAGGGGCAACACAACCTTGGGTCCTAGGCACATCCCAAAGATAAAACACACTACTACAGAATTGCTTATCGGCCTCATTTTTGGTAATCGCGGTCATATGTGTAGCACCATTGCCAACGTCATTAACTAAGTCGTCAGTTGTTTGCGTTTGCGCCAGCGGTCGTAGTTCAGAATTAAACTTTATTATGTTCTTTCTCGCCTTGATGTAGGTTGTTTGCAGCACAGGCTATGATTCCGCTGGCTTTTCTTTTATATGCATACTTGGTTTTAGTACGATAATTAACATTCTAATCAATATTTTTCATCATAAATGTTCTTAACTACGACCGCTGGCGCACACAGCTAACGACACCGTTGATGACGTCGGCAACGGTGCAACACCATCTGACGTGGATTCCAAAAATCGAGGCCGATGAGCAATCCTGTAGTACTGTGTCAAATCCTTGCCCTCCCTGGCCCTTCGGTTTATTTTTAGACGTTCTTATATTAATGTATGTATTAGTACAAGCAACGAAGACCAAAAAGGCCGAAAAGGGGAAATAATTCTTGTAGAAGCCAATTTTGGTAAGTGGCGGCTTCTTATAAGGGTCAATGGGTCAATGACCTCCTAAAATATTCTGATCAATATCACAGTTTCATTAAAAATAATTTTCTGTCATAAAATTCTGAGCAGTCTACATTTGCTGCAATATAAGAAATACATCCAATAAATAATCCTGCCGTGTCCGCGCGCTAATCGGGAACCGGGCCGTAATTGAAATTGACCCTGCACAGTGCAAGTGGTTTATGGCAAAAAGCATGTAAAAAGAACAGAGACAACAGATTATGAATTTTGTGAGCGGGAGTGAGAGTCACCTTGACTCCTATATCAGTAATATGGTCGACGGCCCGCTGTGTTTCGCTTCAACAGCGCGCTGTGCGCGTAGTAAAATCCAGTAGTACAGTAAAATAGAGTTCAGTTCTATTTCATTATAGTGCAGAACACCCCAATAGTTTGCGTGAAAAAGATTGATTAAAAAAAAAATGTAACAATAGGGAACTTGCATGAAAAATTAAATTGATTATTGTTTCTCGGAAACTGTAGGAATTCGAAAAAAAATCGATGCGTATGTTTTCATTTTGTTCAAAATAATTATTCCGAAAGTTATACAAATATTAGGCTTTGTATAATATAAAGATATACTGGGCATGTGCGACGTCATAAAGTTATATAATTTATGACGTCATAAGCACATTTCACAATTTTCATAGCGTTGTATCTCCGTCAATTTTTGACTGAGAAGAAAAAGAAAAAAACATGTTCGGACTTATTTTTTATTCACTAACGAAATCATCAGCGCTAAAAAAATTGATGCAAGTTCCGTATTGTGAACCAAAATGTCCCCCCTGGTTACTAACCCACGAGCCGCCACTGAATTGCGTATCGGAAGTACTTTCGGCACGCATGTGATATTCAGCGCTTTCCAAAGAACCAACCAGTGCGGATTTTGTCATTTTCGTATGTGGTCGTAGGAAAATGTTTTTTTCTACTACCGTGCGTAAAGTACTCACTTTACGCATTATTCAGAAGATGTAAAATTCCACTTCACGCACTAGTGCGTAAAGTAACTCACTTCACACACTAGTGCGTGAAGTAATGTCAATGACAGATGTTGACAACTGTCAATTTAGTATTCTGCTGGTAAATTACTTCACACACTAGTGTGTAAAGTTAAAATACTTCACGCACTAGTGCGTGAAGTATTTGTCTAAATCTATTTTTTGAACATATTTGATTGGTGGTAGAAAAAAAAAATTGTATGCAATACGTGCGTAAATCTCCTTTTTTCAGAAAGTTTACATTCGTGAAAAAAGGTTCACTTTACACACTTGTTGCATAAAGTATTTTTCTTCCAACATTATGAGAAAATTGAATTTTACTGCCTCCCTAGGGACGAGAAAGTGGGTGTTTCTAAGGCTAGCCCGGCAAAACACTCAAAAATGGCTAGGCAAGAAAATTATTTTTTAGTTTTTCTAATAGATGGCGCTACATTAATAAATTTAAAAAAATTGTTTGTATTGTATTTTCGCGATTTTGATTGAATTTCAATTTTAAAAAAGCTGTTATGGTTTTATATCACATCTACCTTATAGTTCTTGTTTCGTCTTTATTCTAAATAAATTTCATACAATTTGGCAAAGGTGCAAAATTCCTGTTTGCTCGCATTTTTTGTTTTTCGCGCAAAAAAAGTCGTACCTCTAGATTTTGATAGTGGACGTACCAGAAGCGAGTAATTTGAGACAGACTTGCTAAGAAACTCGATAAGACGACACGGGCGCGTCGTAGTACGTCTTAACACGGTCCCAATATTTCTAATCTAAAAAAACTTCATTGTGAAGTCCTCTCGTATCAACCTTCTACAAAGTTCCATAACCCGTAAGTGAGGAACAGCATAATCCGCAGCGCGTGTGTGAAGCAGGGCCCTGCAGGAGGGCACTTATGAAATCATTGGGTTAGTCCTTTTCTTCATTATTTAGAGGTTGCGCCGCATAGTAAATACAGTCCACTACCGCGCTATACATTACGTATTAGCCAACGCGCCATCTAGGTATTGGTATCGGCATTTCGCTAATAATTGTCAAAAACCTATAAAAGCAAAATTTGAATGGGATTTGAATTTTGAATATTTTGAATATTTAAATCAAATAAATCCATAATAAATTAATCAATCATGGAATTTGTGATGGAACCTAATGAAGAGGAAATGGAGAGAGTACCCCACCTGAAATTCACGACAATGCAAACAAAGTTTCGATGAATTTGCTGCCAGAAAAATCAAGAGGCAAAAATACCAACTTTAGTATAAGTTATTTATGGATTGGTGTAGTCTTAAAAACGTTGAAAAGTACAGTGAGAACGTGATTTTGACGTATTTATCAGATTTTTCACAAAAATACCGTTCTTCAACAAAAATGTCACTTTACCGCCTTGGTCTACAATATACTATTATTTATTTTTATCCGCCAAAAAACACTTAGAAAAAAGAAAGCCCAATCCTACAAACGTTATGTGAAAGGTAGTCAACTTGCGAAACTTTTTTCCAATCAAACCAACATTGTAACTCCAATTTTTCCCAGATCCTAATGCTATCCCTCCCTTATCTTGGACACAATGTATAAAAATAGGCCAGACGACATAATTGTCTTGAGACAAAACCTAATAAGAGAAGTTCACTTCATCCCAGCTAGAGTTAAAACAGCATTTTGCTAAGCATCAGAATGCGCAACTTTGCTAGGATATAAGTAATCCCTTATGGTTTCCGAGATCACAATAATGAGGCTCGAATTTGGGCCAACCTGTACTATGTATAGTATTTTTAATTGCAAGTGAAACACCAAAAAAACATCTAGTCGGCATATATCAAACAAATATAAGAGATGAGCGTCCCATATTTTTTATTTCTTTAAATGGTAATAATCAGTATCAAACAACACAACTAAATGATACGTGGAATAACATAGCAAAAAATATATGAATTGGGATGACACTGGTTATAGAAGTCCCCTAGTCTAGTCAGCCAGAGGGCTGGAACTCTGTAACGGATAGGGATCGTTATCCCTATCGCTATGGCACTTGCTGTCTTCTTCTCTCTTGTCGAAATCAATAGAGAGAAAACGTCAATAGCGATAGAGAAAATATCTTTATTCGTTACAGAGTCCCAGCCCTCTGGCACCTGCATTCTTATCGGGGAGACGTAGGTAGTCCACCCCAATAATTCAACCTATAGGCGCGTGGCGACCTCTAAATTATTATTTTGGGCTACTGTAGCGATATTTCCACGCTGCTTATATTTTGTATAGGGCAACTTACAATAGATTTTCTATGAAATTAATAGAAGAGAGCGACGTGATATTGAAGTATCCTCGTATAATACAGTGTTTCAGGTCCAAATAAAAATACTATACCTACTGCACTATCAGAGGTCATTATATTAGGTACGCCTGAAATACTATAATTACATAATCAAATCATTCAGTTTTTTATTCAAAAATAAACGCGAACAAAAAAAAAATTGAAATAAAAAGTCACACTCATCGGTAGTGTGATACGAGATACGGATACGAGGTGATCAGGGTCGTCAGCACCTCCTCCACTTCGTAAACGCAACCATCCCTGCCATATGGATAAATTAAAGGCAGCACCGTACCCGTATGTTTTGAATTTAATTTGTATTCTTGATTATCCAGCCTTGAATCCCAGTTATGTGCCTTTGAGAAATTTCAGCCCTTAAAAGAGAACATTTTGCAAGGAACCAAAGTATTTTGAAGAATTCTTGTTTTAATAAAGTTATATTATACAAGAGATGAGTTAAAGCCAGATTAAGTATTAAATTTTTATTAAATCAAACTTCACAAAAAAATAAATAATAATACTGAAATTTATAAACTCAATCGAGATCTTTTTTAGAAGTCACCTCATCTTCGAGTTTTGTTTTTAGTTGGACCCAACCGCTGGAACTACCAATTGTGGGTCAGTATAGACTAGAATCTTGACTGCTTGGGCTATTATGAGGAGTGGGCACTAACTTTTAGTTTTAGTGTCCAAGAATCAGAACTGCCTGCCTAGTGAGCAACCACAGGAAGTCTTATTAGCTTGTAAATTACTTTATACTCCGGTTCCGCTAATCTCAGATTCGTCGTCCGCTTCATCCACGGCCAAAGTCGATGGATTGATACCTAAATAAAGATTTGCAGGTGAATAAGTTTCAATGGGCAGTTTTGTATTTTTCGTCGTCTCACTAAACAACTATGATGGAAAATTGAGATGTATTTGGGAGGGTTTGAGGCACATCGATACTACAAGTCAAATTAATTACGGTTCAAAATAGATTTTTGATAAATTTGAATTTTTGCCTGGAAAACTATTGCAAGGAAAAATTTGAAATTTTTAGAATCTATTGAAAAGGGTTCAAGAGATAACATATTTTCTGTGTAGTGACGCGGAAATAAACTACCAAGAAAACAATTAAAGGTTCTGATTATTCTAAACAACAAAAGACCTAGGATCCAACTACCGAAAATTAATCAAGAATAACAAGGACATATCTAACAACCATACCAGGAGAGATCATCACTTACACACAACACAACCAGAAACTTCAATTAAAAAGTATCTGAACATCGATATCCAGAAATTATTGAAAGCCGATACTCTCTATTGTCTAATACATTGGAATGGGACTAGAGCAAAAAAAAAGTTCATGGACCTTTTTTTTAAAGTGCTTTCAACAATTAACATTCCAAAGAAGCCGAAAAATTTCTAAAAAGATCAATAAATCATGCACGAGCCTATATGATGATACCCACTTAACAAACCACTTAGCGACGCCCTTGATAATTAATTAAAAGATTCAAGACAATGGAGGGACAATGATATAAAAAGGCAACTTTGGCAGGAGAAAATCAGTGTTCGAGAAAGAGCTAGTAAACGGGCAGAACTACGGCGTGAAAGACCAGTGTCGGTTGAGTAATCAAGAAACAAGTAGTAATCGAAAATCGAGAGACCTGTGTCCAGAAGGTCAGAACTACGGCGTGAAAGATTTGTCGAATTAACCGAGAGAAGAAGCACGACGTGAAATAACAGCGCGAAAATATTCGAGTTTTTTTTATTAAGTGTTCATAATTGAAATAAATTTTTTCGACCACTAAGATTTGCATGTAATTAGGTGTGGCCAGCAGTAAGTAGAGTTTTTTTATGTTCAGCCAGAATTTGTAAAGGCAAAAGTGTAATCGAGTTAATCTGTAAATAAAAAATTTTACTTGGAATCATATAACAGTCACTTGGAATCACTTAACAGTTAATTGATGCTTAATTGAAATCTAATAAATTTATTGTAAGATTATTTATTACCGACGCCTGTTAATTAATAACAAGCATTATTTATTTTAATTAAATAAACTTTATTTTAAGTGACCACAATATTTCTGTGTTTTACTCTCCACCCGCAAATAGGACCCACTTTAAACTGTGTCTCCACTCAGAAACTAAAGTCACCGCTCGCCGATTTAACATCTTGCCAAGTTTCTGAATTTGGGGTCTCACACCTGTATACTCCAATGTATCTATTAAACGTTTCTTATATTCAGGTAAAATCAGAAATTGGAAAAAGTATCCTAGAAAAGTTGCCATCTACTTTTTTATTGCTAAGACAGAGAGCAGTCCAACACGTCATTTAGTTATCTAGAAACAGAAAATCGGCCGGTCCAGACTAGCTTGATGAACAACTTTTCTCATAATCGAGGGAAAAATCGAAAGCAGAAGAGGTCCTGGACGTCGAATAACATCTTGGCTTAAGAATTTGCGTCCCTGGTATGGCGAAACCACAACAAGTCTATTCAGAAAAATAGTCCACAAAGTACAGATAGCGCTGAGGATTGCCAACGTTCGTAGAGGACAAGGCACTTGAAGAAGAGCGTAACAGGAAACAACAAACAACGTTTGGGGCCAAATTATGGACTGACTGATAAAACGTCTGGTTGTTACCTAGCAGGTTCTTTCTATGCACCAGAGAATAGAAAGTACCTGCTAGGTAAAAACCAGACACTTACCAGTTGGTCCATAATTTGACCCTTATTTGGTATATTTATTATTTTGGTTCTTACCTGGTGGTTCCGGTGAAGCTCCTATCCTGCTCGGCGACGCTATTCCAGAATCAAACGTCTGTAAACGTATACGATCACAAACTGGTTCGTCATTAGTCATCATAATATCGAAGTCTTCTATAAGGTCTGGCTTTGAATTTTCATCAAACAGTACTTCTCTACTCGCTGAAGATTCGCAGTTCTAAAATAAATATTGTTGATAAAATTAAAATATGTTGTTTTTTTTTTAAATGTGTTTACTTCTAATCCGTTTATGGGTGCTTTATTTTCAACAATTTCAGCTTCAGATAAATCAGGTCGGCAGAATAATCTCTTCCACAATCGTCGCCAAGAGTCTAGAGTCTTTCCAGACCAAATCCAGATTCCGCTGGTGATTCCTACGGCTAAAGCCATAAGGTATTTGAGCATCAACACTGAATATAGTGGTTTGGCTTTAATTGGGTAGAAACAACCACAGGCTAGAGACTTTAACCATTCATTATGGAAAGCGTTTTCGTATAAATGGCAACCAATCACTATAGTTGCTGACACTGTATAGAGCACACTGAAAATTCCAATTCTGATCGTGAGTTTTTTCAATTTGTCAGTTTTAGATGAGTCTGCTCCAGGACCACCTCGCTTCTCGATCACATTCCTAATCCTGAATAAAGAGACAAATACTGCCATCAAAAAACTTATACCGAGGATTAGGTAGATGATCAAAGGCCCCAGCACAAAAGTTTGTAAGTTAACAGTATTCATGTTGCCAACATAACAAATTCCTGATACAGGATCGCCATCCACGGCTCCACTTAGCAAAACGCCCAAAGTTTGTAAAGTTGGAATAATCCAGGCAGCTACATGGAAGCATCGATCGTAGCTAGCGATAGCTTCCTTGCCCCACTTAAGTCCAGTGGCTAGGAACCAAGTTAGCGAGAGTATGACCCACCAACTTGACGAAGCCATACCGAAAAAGTACACCAACAAAAACACCAGCGTACATAAACTAGGTCCAGAACTCGTGTAACGAATTATAGCTCCTTCACAAGCCACTCGTTCGTGTCCGACTGCAACTCGGATTAGATATCCCACTGATACCAAAAATTGGCAAGCCGATACAAAGACGATCGGTCTATCGGGGTATTTGAAGCGTTCGGTTTCGATGAAGAAGGTGATAAGTGTCATCAGCGTAGAAGCGGCGCAAAGTCCCGACCATAGACTGATCCAGATCAAAGCGAACTCCTTCTCCTCGGGACTGAAGAACGTTTCCTTGCACGGGAACGCACAATTTGGGACGCCTAAGACGTTTCGGTTGAACGGTAGCGGACTGATTTCGGTTTCCAGCAGGGAAATTAGTGGCTTTTGGCAATGGCACCTAATTCAGAAAAAAGACAATTAGTAGAAAAAAAAACAAGCAACTGATAAGACCAGTGATCATGTATAAATTTTATTCAACAAGTTTTGGTTTTAAGCACTAGCGTAGCTAAACCAAACGTGGACGTCGGCGACATCCGAATTGCGAGGCCCTTTTTATGAAGGGGTGGTCATATTTTTTGTGACAAAAACTGGATATAAGACAGGGATGGGTAGCTGCCGGCAGGCCCCCCGAACCGAAAGATAACCGCGGAAGGCGAGAATTTTTTGAATGTCACGCCACCTTTTTCAGGCATATCAACGGCGTATTCGATAGTCATTTTCAGTCAAAAATATTAATATTTTTCCGCTAAAAATCCTACAGCCAAAAATAAATTTCTCATTTATTACAGTATGACGCAAACATGGACCGACAATTTTTAGTAGGAATCAGGAAATTTTTCAGGAAACCTAATTGATTTCCGAATCCCTGTATGTTAGTATGTTTATTTTTGCTGTTTGCTGTGCAAAATCAAATGCTGGATAGACTTTCAAAATGCTGTAGAATGTACAGGGTGTTTCCTTATATTTTGACCCCTACCTACAGCTTTAGCTATACGAAGTGTAAAAAAATTTTAAATATGAAAGTTGTAGGGTTTTATGTCTATTATCTTTTTCGAATGTCAAAATGGGCAAATGACAGGTGTCAACTGTCACAATGACAAACACTTGCATTTTTCAAATGGAACACCCTGTATATTTTTGTCTAGAATGATAGATCGTTTCCTTCTGATTCCAAACATACCATATACTTATGTTGATATTTGGTTCAACTGTTTTTACGCTATTCAAGTTTAAAAATGCATTTACATTACCCTTAATTTAATCTGTCCTGGTTTCTTATATCAATGATGAGGCTTGCTCAATGCAATTTTAAAATTGAATAGCGCAAAAAACAACTGAACCAAATATCAACATATATGGTATATTTCAATGAATCCCGCGCCTCCACGACAAATATCTGTGAATCTGGGATACTCAGTAATACCGGCCCGAAGGGCCGGAGTTATATGCGTGCCCGAAGAGCCGGAGTTATATGCGAGCCCGAAGGGCCGGTATTATATGCGAGCCCGAAGGGCCGGAGTTATATGCGAGCCCGAAGGGCTAGAGTTATTTTAATAACGGGCCCTAGTTTATAATTCTATTGGTGAGCGGATAATTTAGAGCTAATTGAAAACAGTCAGTATTTAAAATGCGATTTCTAACGTCCGATCAAAGAGTCAGGAATATTCAAAAACTTTAGTTTTATCAAATTGGCTTTGGAATGTTGGTTTTCTCAAGATTTTTATTTTTTTCAGAAAACGGTGGTTTTTGCAAACATATACTACTTTATCATTGTCTTTGTCTTACTCACTATAATCAATAAGTAAACCTTTAAATGTCATTTTCATTGAAATTAAACTAAAAACAAGTTTCCTATAATTTATTTGGGGAATTTTAATTATTATAATCATTATTAATTAATTATTAAAATGAATTTTAAGCAAAAAAACCCTTTTAAAATGTTATTTTTGTTTTCCGAAATGAGATGTGGCAACGTTGCTTTTAGTTTTAGTAATTTTTTGCCAGTTTTTCCTCGAGTTTTTCACTTTTCCGGGGCTTTTCAATGGAAAAAGGCAATTTAACATACGAGGCTTTGAGTTTTCTTCATTTTCTAGCAAAAATGTCCAGTTTTAAAATGACATAAATAACAAAATCCCATTTAAAATGTTTTTTTGGAAGTTTCAATGTGGCAACACCGTTTGTACCAACTTCAAATAGGTTTTGTAATAAATGTCATTTGCCAGTTTTGACAGTTGGCAATTTTTAATTGACGTGTTTACATTTCTATTCAGTTTTTCCTCGAATTTTCCACTTTTCCAAGCCGTTTTCAGTCAAGAAACCCGATTTGAAATACGAGGCTTTGAATTTCCTACATTTTGTGCTAAAAATTCCCAGTTTTCCAATAGGGTAAGTGACAAAAACACAAATTTCATTAAGTAGGCTTTGGAATGTCATTTTTAGAGGTTTTTCTTTGAATTTGTCCGCTTTTCCAGGGCTTTTCTGGTCGGAAAAACCGATTTAAAGTACGAGGCTTTGAGTTTTCTTCATTTTCCACCAAAAATTTCCAGTGTTTTAACGGGGTAAGTGAGAAAAACTTTAGTTTTATCAAGTAGGTTTTGGAATGTCATTTTCGTTGTTTTTTTTTTGGAATTTTTATTTAAGGTTTTTGGGGTCCGGGGATCGTTTTCTATTACTTTTTTTTCTCGAAATTCGCAAAATAAAAAAAAAAAAAACTTTTTTGACGTTGACAGCTGTCAATTTTTTTTGACACAAATCGATAGTTGGCGTCGCGAAACTGCCTTGTACCGGGGTTTGATTTTCGTAGCTTTTATAGTAGAGCGGGAAAAAAGTCGAACATGTGTCAAATTTGAGAGGTGACATTTGTCGATATTGCCAAAGTGTCGTGCTACAAAAGTTTTATCCGAACGAACCCGTTCATTGTTAACTGATTTTTCATACTCCGGCCCTTCGGTAATCTTTGAAACTAAAAACGTCATTTTGTATCGATTGTCAAAAAAACCCAAGGTTTGAAATTTCAATTTTTTGACGTTTGTTGTATCATGAGCAGCGTTGCCATATGTTTTTATCAAATCTCGATTTATAGGTTATTTTAAACCCAATCATTGACATTTCTGAAAAATATTTCCTTTAAAATTCCCAAATATCCTTTGGAATCCCCAAAAATCTATTAAAATCTCAGAATTCCATAATTTAGTGGAATTTCGGTAGAATAATTATGTTATTCTGAAAAAGGAATTAGATGTGAAATTTTTACGGAGTTTCCATAGAATTCACATTAAATTTTAATTCCTCTCGAATTACTTGAAATTTCAGTGAAATTCCGATCGAATTACACGAAATTCTAAATGAATTACATGGAGGAATTTTAAACAATTACATGAAATTACACCGAAATTCCCAACATGAAATTTCAGCTTTTACTGAATTTTAGTAATGCCGAGGAATTTCCAGCTAAAAACATGGAATTTCGGTGATATTCCGAAAAATTACCATGTAATAACATGAAACTTCAATATATTTCGATGAATTTTTAAGAAATTACTTGAAACTTCATTAATATTCCCAGAAATTCCTGGGTATTAAAAGAAAATTTCAGTGAAATTCCGAAAAATTCTTATGAAAATAAATTAAATTTTGAAAATTCCTTAAAGTTTCATTGGACTTTCGAGAAATTTTCTGTTATGAACGTGGATATTCTCATAAAATTTTAGTGAATTCCGAGAAATTTTTAAGAAATTACATGAAATTCCAATAAATTTTATGAAAATTTTGTGGAATTCCAGGATATTTCAGTGGTAAAATTTTGAGGAATTTTAGTTAAGTTAAAAAAAAAATATGGAATTTTGAAATTGAAATCTTCTAAAATTCCGAGGAATTTCATGAAATCCTATACTGTAATTAGCCTCCTCACTTGAAATAGTCACGAGCCGCCACTGAATCAGAAGAAAAAAAGCTATCATTCTAGCCAAAAATATTCATAGTCCGGGAGGCAGTGAAATTTTTTAGCACTTATTTTCCCAGTTGGTGTATATTAAATAGTTTGTTCTCTTGGTGATACAAAACAAGAATATTTGAGTTTCGCAAAAATTTTCGGATGGGTTCACTAGATCAACGAAAAATACAAGTACACTTATTTTCCCAGTCATAAATATTTCACACCCACTTCAATATAGAACATTAAGTATATGAACATAGCAATTTGGCTTATCTCAGATAGTGGAAAGTTAGTCTGGCTGAAGTTTTTCGAGTCTTCAATTTTTCACTTGCCAGACATATTCAAAAATCAAAATCAAAAAATATTTATTGCAAATTCACACATACAAAATGAAAAAAATACAAATAAACATTTGGTATGCCCTGCTTAAGTTTTGCAACTAGACTGCAAGTGTTAATAATAAAATAAACTAATATAATTAGTATTTTCATGGTAGCATGTAGTAGTTTACGATAGATTAATTTACTTTAAATTATTAGTATAGTAAAAGCCGTTCACACGTTAAAAAAAAGAAAAAAACATTCAGGCAATATCTAGTCGTAGGTTTTTTAAGGAACAAATAAAATCGTAATTAAATTTGAAATTGAAGAAAAGAAAATATATAGTAAAAGCCGTTCACACGTTAAAAAAAGATAAAAACATTTAGGCAATATCCAGTAATAGGATTTTTAAGGAACAAATAGAAATGAAATTAAAGTTAAAACCAGCTTAGTGGACATTACTGATAAACAAAATGTGGACAATAAAAATAATTAGGAACATGTAGGTAATTAAAATTTAAGATTTAGAATTTAGGCAAGCAACATTTATGTTTGAGTTGGAGTACGTAGGTTATAAAACACAACAAAACAGCAAGGACAACTAAAAACTGCCAATTTTCATAGTGACTATAAAGGTATAAGAGACATGGGATTTTCCACAACACCACAGCAATCCAGATTAGACAGCTGAACCAGTCTCTATGATTTTATTAATTTCATCTATATTGAGGTTTAAAAGCCAATTCTGAATTTGTTTCTTGCGATTCCTGCGTGTGCTGTTTTTGACGTAATCTGGAGATATATTGTAAAATCTAGGGGCGAGGTATGTGTGACATTTTGTCCCTTTTGTTTTAACTGCTCGTGTAGTATTAAGTTGGTTTTTATTCCGAGTATGATAATTATGTTTAGTTAGTTGTGGTTGATGGTGGTTTTGCTTAAATTGGTAGTTTACTAATGCTTCCACAAAGATTTGTTTGACTTGAAGAATGAGTTCTTTTTTGCAGATATCGTAGAGTTCAACACTAGGAAAGCGTATATCCTTTTTAAAAACAGTCTTTAGTATAGTTTTTTGAATTCTTTCAAGTGGTTCTATTATTGTTTTTGAGGCTGATCCCCAGGAAAGTATACCGTACTTGATAATTG